CCTCATCCCAGGAGCTTCTACTGCTCCTGTTTACATCAAAGCCCAAATCAAACAATAATGTTACACTACAGCATTTACCCCACCCCCAAGTATTTTGAAATCTGCAGTTATCCAGAAGGAACACAAAGGACTCGCAGGACAGCGTTACCCATGAGAGCACATTCTTTCCACCCATGGGATTTTTCCTGGTGCTCATTCTTTTCTCAAAGTATTCTTCTGTTCTTTCAGCAAGGGAAACATGGTAACTGACTTAATATTAAACTAATGTAGCTTTAAACTAAACTAGATTTAGGTTATAGAGATTAGGAAAAACTTCTACACCGAAAGGGTGATCAAACACTGGAACAGGCTGCCCAGGGGAGTGGTTAAATCACCATTGCTGGATGTATTTAAAAGCCATATGGACAGGGTGCTCATGAATATGGTGTAGAAGTGGCCTGGTGGAGTTAGATAATGGTTGGACTCGACCTTAAAGGTCCTCTCCAACCACAGCGATTCTGTGACTCTGTAATTCTCAGTGGCAAGGTAGTCAAACCCTGGACCTGACACGAGTGTTCAGAAGCAAAGACACTTGAGCACAATGCTAAGAAAGTCAGAACCAGCCTGTTAGCAGTCTTCTACTCATAGACAAAACCATCTCGTTTTGCCATCTTCATGAATCTACAAAGTGTCAACTTGGAGTAAGGCTGCAAAGACACAGCACGTATTACATAGCACATGTACAACACTTCACATTCTGGCCCATACCTGCTTTCGTAGACATCCCAATCATGCTCCTCTTTTTCTTCCAAAAACTGATGTCATTTTTGAATGCAAGGAAATCAAAGAGAAGCTGCAAATAGCGAGAAACACATTAATTTGCTTGAAATGTGCACTAATTACAGACTGCTCGCTGAACTGTTAAAAATGCATTTAAGCTGGAATTCCAGAAAAACCTGTTTTAGAAGCTTCAGATATAAAAATTAACCATCACAAATAAAAGCTAAAGAGAAAAATTGGTTTAGAAGCCCAAGCTCTAAAAGCAGTGCAAAATGACAAGATGAATTCCAAATACTGCTACTACTACAGTGCTGCACAGTGCAGTGCCCTGTGAAGAAAGTCAGTGATCCAATAAAGGGTAACACATGGTAGAGGATGAAGAATGAGGACCTCGAGGAACTGCTCCCCTCCTCCCTGGCAAACCAAGGAAAGCCACACTAAATTACATTCTAAGTGCTTTGTATTGCATTGAGAGTCAGTTTAGGCTTGGACAATATCGGAAGTTTTTTAAAAGCTTCCCCTCGCCCCCTCTATTTCAAAACTAAGAAGTTGACTTAAACTTCAGGGCCATTATAGCATTAATTTTATTCATAGTATTTTTTTTGCCCCCAGCATTTTCATTCAGTATATTTTTCAGTATTTCCTTTAAGCATCCACTGTCTTAAAAAAAATTAGCGTAGACTCAAGGAATTCTTGGGTCAGAGAATTTTAATGAAAAGTGGAATTTCATTTTATTTTGGGCAAATATGCACAAAAGAAAAAGCATCAGAAGAGCTACTCCCAGTCTACAGATACCTTACAACCTCACAAACAAAAGGGAAAAAAAATAATATGCCTGGGAAGTCTAAGGTTTTCCAACCAAATTAACTGTATGTAAGTAAAAAGAAACATAACATGCCCAGCAAGTTCTTACCTCTCCCAGGATATGGGAATTGTATTGAGAATAATTGGAGATTACAAAAATGTTCACAATACAACAATGGAGTCTAAAAGAATTGTTCATTAAAATGATTCATATTTAAATCAAGACACGTACAATGCTAAGAGAGAGATGCAACAACAAATATCCTTGACTAGAGCCCTAAGCTCTGCCCCTTACAGCAACAATTTTTTTAAGCAATTTAGATTGGCTCATCTAAATTTCTCTAGGGATTAGAAGTCAGAGACTCAATCCTACTGTTGGTGCCCCAGCTATGCCACTGCAGCAATAAATCTTGTGACAAAGTTTCAATCAATGTTGACAAGCATATTAATTTTAGGGGCTTTGGTTCAACTACAAACAAAAAAAAAGTGATAATGAAGTTAACAGTTTTATATTTCAGTCCAGATTGTTAGTTTCTTATCTAGTTATATGTTTTTCTGTCTTACTTGAGATTTTGATATTAACACTCTATTGGAAATACAGCTGACTAGTACCAGAAAACACTTCCATTGCTCTATTCAAATCACTTTTTCCATAAACAGTTCTTAAGAAATGAAATAGCTGAAATTCAGTCCCTCCCCCTTTTTTTTTATTTCATATGCCTTAGTTCCTAAAACCCAAACTTCCTCTACTTACGTGGAATGCTGCTACAAAGAAAGTCAAAGCCAGAAAGTACAGGTTAGTGTCAACAAAAATTCCTTTTACTTCATCTGCATCCTTTTCTGAAAACCCTAAGAAAAAGAACAAGTAATTATGCAAGTACCACCAGACAGTTAATTGCTATTATGCCAGAGTCCAGTACGAAATAAATTGTAAGTCACCTGCACGTTTTGTTAAGGCATCAAAAACTCAAGACATGATGGCAGCTTTACTGGTAAGACCTAAGTCAACCTATTTTTTGGTGAATCATTTGGCTCACCATAAAATCCATCAGTTACAAGCAGACTCGTGTGCTTCTAACATGTTGTGTAACTACAACCTAAGCTGAACACTGGACAGACAAATGGAATGACACAGGAAGTCATTCTGGCCTGAGGAGGAAGAAAATGGATGATTCAGCTTGGCCTCTGAAGTTTTATTTGATACATAAGAAAAGTGAGCTTCACATTAAAAGTAGAAAAATGAGAAGAGGGCTACTTTGTAGAGGACAACAAAAGTCAGTGAGAAACAGGTCCAATAGTACAGACCCCAGATCATGGACTAGGCATTGACTTTTGACAGTCCTTCCAGAACTAACTTAGAAGTTTCTCTTTGATGAATGGAAAAAGGCAAAGCACCTTCCAGAAAGCACAATCTGTAAGCTGAATGCATTATTCTCTGCTGTCTTATCAAATCTCCTACAGGAGGAATGTTGCTACATTGTTATATACTGGATGACCTTTAACTCAAAAAAAGTTAGAGCCTGTCCATGATAAATATGGTTGCCAGCATCAAGGAGGGTGTTCACCAGAAGATACACCATCACTGTGAACTTCTTCAGCCAGTGTTAAGATGCTCTCTTCACAAACTAGAAAGTTCCAGCCACTGTGACTGGAAGTGCACTTTCTCAGAAGATACACAGTGCTGCATTTGCAGCAATGGTGCCAAGTACACTGCTGAGTTCAGTGTCCATCTGCTTTGTCCTACCAGCTGCTCTGCACCACGGCAAGAAGAACTGAACTTACCTATGTTCAAGTGAGTTTAGAATTTTGTTACTAAAACAACCTTTTTGTAAGTTATTTGAAAAGGAAAATTTTAAACCTTACATTTCACTATCTACATACTTCTAGAGAACAGGCAGCATCTCAGGCAAGTGTTTTCTTCAGGATAACTTTGAAGAGATGAAGTG